CAGTTATCATTAATTACAAAAATGTAGAGTTCTTTAAATAACACTCCTACCCATACCATAACATTTGGACCTCCACATTGATCGGTCTGTCCTATACATTTTACTATCATTATGCACATAAATGGCACCTTCAAATGCATCTATGATGGTGCTCTATTCAAAATCTCTGACAGGTATACCTTTCCATACTGTAGGTGGCTTATTAGACCTGAGGACAAATAAATCATGACAGATGGCAAAGATATTTGTATAAAGAAAATTTAGTTAGCAAAATAAGACAATCACACTACACACAAAAAAACATCCTCTAAACTAACCCAGAACCAGCTTTCACTGTGAATCCCCTTTATATACCAAGTGAACCTAAATTAAACCCATGCTAGAATCTGGCTCTCAGGCTTTCACTAATTATCTAATTAATCAATTAATACACCACACATGAATATATATACAAACAACAGAGGCCTAAATGACCTCTAGTGGCAGGTCAGTTGAAACTACAGCTCAAATTACTGCTTGCCTGCCACAGAGTCCTTGATTCATTGCTAAAGAGAACTTGGCGCCACTGCTGTGTTTCTCACACCACCTCTTTGAGTTGTGCCGATAAAGACTAGCAAGCATAGAGCCTCTGTGTGGTCTTCTGGCCTTCAAACAATGACTGTTTAGCTGCTTCCTCACCGCCTGAACCACTGATTTTTGCAACCTGGTATTTCTGATCTCGAGGAATTGGCAGTGTGAAAACAAACACAAAGATGGAGAGTGGTGTTTTGATCTTGTTTGAGTTTTGTTACACATGGTCGCTTAGATTGTGGCCTATCATAGGCTCTGTTTTTATCCATTACTGTTTGATGCTTATTTGAAGAAAAACAAGTTAGATATGCAAGACCTACTTTTTCTAATTTCATTATGTTTATCCTCTAAAATCCCAATGCCATACAATGATCCTCTAGTTTGGTTGTAATTATCATTTCCATGGCCTATCAAGCAGTAAAACAAGGCCTTTTGGTCTACAAGTACTTGGTTCATTTTGCCCACCTTTTAATGGATAGGTACTACACTATCAATTTAAGATTCAATGGGTATTTGAGTGACTGTTGAAAAAAATTTGTTGATGTCCTTAAATAATGTCTTATTTCCTTAAGTATAATTAGAAGAACACCATCTGGAGATTTATCTAAACTACTCCTCCACTATTTCATTGACATTGTTCAGGTAACTTCATTATTTCATCCACCATAAAGAATACAACTTCAAACAGTTTTTGACTTGGAAACAAACTAATGTCTTAACAATACAATTTTGAAACCTGAACTTAAAATGAAACACAAAAGCAATGTTTCAGTTTGTATCTGAAGCTACCCGGCAAGGAGCAATATATTCTCATAAATATACTGACACTAATGGCATTTAATAACAAAGTAATTAGCTGAAGGTCTCATACAGCATGTGTGTTCTCAATATACTTCATTAGTCGGACTTCCAAAGGCCATAAGAAGGCACTCCACTCCAACTGAATTCAGCATTTAATTTCTTTGTCTCACGCATCTTTAAACTTCTTCTTTCTAGGAAATTGTCAATTTCACCTTGGTGAACCAGATATAACTGAATGTGTCTTATACCAATGGAATTGTCTTCTTAATCTTTGGAGTAGTGTACTACGTTTGTGTTGTGATATACTGTAGGTCTTGTCACATCTTGTGTTTGTGTTATACACTCCATTTTGTGCATTTCACAGATTTTGGGGGATGAGGCACAACATGCCCTATGAAAGTGGTTTCAAGTCTCTTTCAAAATATTTATATACAGGTATCTAGGTCTTTATAATGTCATGTTCTGGGGCCTCTTTCACCACTATTTGATCACATAATGATGTGTTGGAACTCCATTTATTATCTAGGTTGAATAGTTTGTTCAATATACATCTTCTGCCAATTTAGCTTTTTCTTGTATGATGTTTTATTTTCCTAAATTAAACCTCTACTGTTTTTCTTTCTAAATCAAGACTTGTCGGTCAAACACACTTTTTTACCAAGTACCAGCACCTTGAGAATATACTGTACTGCTTAGAGTTCTAAAAGTATGTAAACCCAATTGCTTTATTGCCAAATTAAACTTAAAAGTCTTAAAACATTCCTCTAACGCTGTTTTTTATAGCTCTTAGAATATATTTGTAGTGCATAGCTGAAGGAAGTCCGTGTTTAGAACTGGCATCAGTTCAACCTGAAGAGTACAAGAAAAAAGGTGTAAGACGCATTATAACCAGACTGAAAAGGAGAAGGCGAAGCTTGTGACAGACATGAGGATTAAATGGAACTGATTTTAATTTTCCTGGCACTACCCTTAAAAAAGAGTTTGATCTTTACTACCCTTTGGAAGTTTACAGGAAGATGACTTAGTGTATGATAAAGACAGAATGTTTTCATATAAATACATTTTAGTTAAAACTTCTGTTTATAGTAGACAATGTTAAAAATTAATATCTTTAATAATAACCAAAAGGAAAATGGCAAATTAGTACATAGCACTTTGTAATATATAACTAGAAAGAGTGTTCATCTCCTTTGACATACAAATGGTACTAAGGCCATTAGAACTTGCAACACGTAGTCTGGTGACTTTGTTATATATACTGTAGGTCAAAAAATGCATTTAAAATGTTAAATGGTTTTCAAAACCATTAAATGCCTCAGGAATGTTACCAGTTAGTAATTTATTTCTGACTAATTCCTGATCTCTTTGCAGTATAGTGACTTGAATTTCATTCATTTTCTAGTCATCTGTTACTTGTTTCAAATATCTGGATTTAAATGTTTAGTTTTTTTTTAAACTGTTAAATAATCCCAAACATTGGTCATGTTTTCTTCCACTGGAAATATTGAGACATAACTAATACAATTTAAAAAAACCTGTTCGTCAAGTGATTATAAAATAACTGGATGCTTCAGGAAAAGGAAAAACATCAATTATTAACTTTCCATTGTGTTCTATAAATTTTCTGGAAAAGATGACTTTTATTATGTCAAACTGTTTCCATGAAGGTCCAAGATGAATGTGACTTCTTTCAGGGACTTTTTAAATTCAGGTGTGACTTTACCACACAAGACGGAGGGGAAACACAGAAAACACAATCCATATTTACAGTACTTATTAATCCATATTTCCTAAGAATTTTACAATACCGCAAGGAAACTCACGGGTATAGTTGATCACTTATTTATAGGTTTTATAATTACATCAAAACATCTATGCAAAAAATGCGCTCTATGCAAAAAAGCATTTTTCCCAATTATATAAAAATATGTATTTTTCTAAGTCTTATATTTGTGATTTTCTTTCCTGACTGCTATTTTTTTTCCTTCTACGTAAATAAATCTGACACCGTCTTCACTGGATAAAAAAACTAATATTTATGGCCTCACTTGCTAATATTCTGCTTGAGACAGCTCAACAGAGATGTATGTGCACACAACGTAACTGAAGTCCATGTGAAGATTCAGAACGTCCAAAAAGTCCAAAGAAACAAATGAAAACTTCAGGAGTTTTCACTGGTAGTCTAGAAAGGCGTAATATTGTCTCCCTCAGTGAGGATGTGCTCTAATATCCCTCACAATTGACCTGTTAATCTGCATTTGGGCCCTTAATATTTTCAAATTGATATTATTTGGAAATATTATTATTATGTGGAAATTGGGGTATTGGGGACGGATTTCGTGGATTTCGTGGAAAGGGATCTTCCAGCCCCTCATAAGTAAAATGATTATTACTGAATATTACTGGAATTGTAACAAGATGATGCCCACTTGCGGGATCATAAGAGAAACTATATTTTTTGGTTCCTTGTGCCCTTTATACTAAATAACATGAGCTGCTCAGTAATGACAGGCTATGTGCTGGGAACTAAGAGGAGATGGGGATCCCCTGAGAGTTTATTATTGGAAGACTGTGCAAGTTTAAACAGGGCTAGTTCCTAACCAGAAACAAATGCCCTGGGACACTGCCGCAGGGGTGCACTGTCACATACAGTACGAGTGCATCATAACTAGCTTACTACAGTATATGTCGTTTTGGGTGGATCCTTTTTCGTGTGCGTCCTATGTGATTACTTATCCTCATGTAGCATGTAGCGCAAGTACTGTATAATAGTAGATAATTGCTGTGAGCACTTGGCTGGAGTTGAAGGCTGACGGCGAGCAGGCAGGGGAATCGCTGAAGTTCTCAGTGTGATGCTTTAAAATGAAAGTCTGTAATAGAAAGTCCCACCAGCAGTTTCAGGTTTCGTTTGCGTATCGAGGGACAATATCGGGAATTTGCTTCTCCTTTTACATAATGAATATCTGGAGATTAGCTAGTTACACGGAAAAATCTGTAATGTAACGCGCCAAATGGAATAAAGTATTGATCTTTATTTTTTTAATTATACTTTCCAAGTTAACTGCACAGTCCCTATCACCATCTCCTTTCTGTACCATAGCGCCTGGAGAGCGACGTCTTTTTGGTTTTAATCTAAAGTTTACTTACACGTAGGCAGGAAGACAAAGATGAGCATGTGGTGAGAAACAGATTCACAAATCCGTTGATAAAAGGATGATGATCTATTGTTAAGAGCTTTTTAACACAGGGTGTATATTCCCGTATTTTATAAGAACATCAATAAAATCGCTATAAATTTTGATGGTGGTCAAAATCAAATTGAATTATTACCAATGCTGTGTTATAACAAAAATAAAAATAGACCGTCTACTTCGAAGTTTTAAAAAGATGGGCTGTTTTGAACCGTGACTTGTCCAAAGAGATAACGTATCATTTTATATTTATCAAAACTTCTTTTTTAAATGTCAAACACGAAAGCATGCAATAAAATAACCAGGTGCTACTGATGTTTTTGCAGTGTTTTACTAGTAGTATAAACCCATTTTTTTGGGGTTCGAAGTTGAAGAGCTCACATCACGGAGCCCCGCCCATTCACAATATTTAAATGTTCAATGTCAGCGCAAGACCTGTTTCAGAGAGTCCTGTGATCTTATCCAAGGAGGTCTGTGAGAAACTCTTCCAGAAATATATTAAGCGCCGAAAACAAATTACGCCAAAAGGTCGGTATATATGAATTACTTTCTATACACTTTAATCAAATTAATATCATATATACAATATTTGTATCTAAAGAAAAATATAACAATAATACATTAAATATGAAATGCATAATTTGCATAATCTTTTGGCTGTATATAAAGATATATTCATATGTAAGTAGTAATACAACAGTAAAGGGATATAATTATTTTTAATAGCAAATCCTATATTTAAATAATTATATGGAACTATATATTCACCAAAGTAGCTGTAACTGCTTTTCTTCTCCTCTGTTTCCGATGTATAGGTGTCCTGCAAATTTTGCTACATACTTGCGTCTGGATTGCTCTGTGCCTGCCTGCGTTTTTGGAGTTCCTCCTCCTAGGATCTGTACATTTTCCAGGTGATTTGTAAGCCTCCCTCCTTTCCCCGGGGGTGTGAGAACTTCTAGTCCCACGATGCGAGCTTTTTTACCGGTTACAGTGTGTTGCATCAGCCTGCTGTGCTTGCACCAGCAGCTACTGGCTTTACCCGTTGGAAACAGCCTTGAAAGAAACAGGTAAGTAACAAAAAAAAAACTTTCTTTTTAACTTTTGCATTCAGTAGATAAGCACTGTGACACTTTTCATCATGCTGTAATTCCGCAGTTTTTTTGTATAGTACTTACAATTATCGGGACAATATTGGGGGATATACTGTAAAAGCACGTGAAATCCGAGAGTTTTCTGTGAACACTTGGAGAAAAGCGACAATAATGCGTCTGATCCTACAGTCAGTTTCCACATATTCAATGTTGCTGACTCTTCATCGCACTTAAAGGTGCTATATTTAAGAAATCAATCAGCACTGAGTTTTCGTTTTATGTTACCAATATGTGAAACTGAGGGATTTGCGATTTTCCTCTCGCAATTACCGCTGAACGGAAAACTACACCGCTTAGTTTCGCTTAGTGGATTGGTGAGTTTAAAAATAGAAGTGTTACACCTGTCAATTACAATCTCAGTTGAACTGTAAATTTTGCAGATTGCTAAACACTTTACCCTCCATTGAGCGTATAGATTAAAGAGCAATTGAACCACCGTTTAAGTAAAGGATTTAACTTCACTTGAACTTGGTGTAACACGGGAGCTGAGGAGGTGAAGTAGACACGGGCGACGTGCTTGAAGGAGTGTGTGCTTTTTGGCACTTTAAACTAGCCCGTGCCAATGACTCACAAAACATCTGGAAAAACTGACAACATGAGGAAACCAAGACCTTTTGTGTTTTCGGAGACTGCCAGGTACACTATCAGAAGAAACTTTAAGCTTTTTATGACGGTTAAACAACGTTTGCTGTTCATTTCTCCCCTCACACTTCATACCGTGCCATGAGATAAACTTTGCTCTCTGTTATATAGCTTTATTGTTCACGTCTTTGCTTGAAAAGGAAACCTGTTCATACTGTAGTTGATGTTAGGTCAATGAAAAAGATTTTTACATCCGAGCGTATTTTGGAAACGAAGTGTTGACTTGTGTCAAAAATCAATTTGCGTTTAACTTTGGGGGTTATCGGAGATTTCGGTTTCCCCAAAATAAAAGTTTGAAAACGTGGTCTCCTGAATGAATCTGGTATACCAAATCTTTATCGTTATTAGGTGTTATCGATATCAGTGTATTAGGAATTTGAATCTAATTTGTTCATTTTATCGTTTTTTTAGTCATTCTATATCGATTTTCTTTTATGCGTCCTGATCACGAAGGAAATCTTAAAAGGGGGGAATTGAAGCCAGAAAAGGGTTTACAGTTTACGCTGATAGGTATTATTGAGTAAATTATTCTATGTCGATTTCACGTGTTGCAGTAGATTTTCGACTCATACCGTTGAGCGGGGTCTAACGATCTGCACGGTATGAAACAAGCTGTCCAGCCATGTTGCTGAAGCCGGTTCCTTGGCTTGTTTAAAGAAACTGCTGGATGAGACCCTCGGTTTAGGACTTACTAGCAAACGGGCTACACGGACAAAACGGCCTCCTCTCGTTTACAACCGATCTTCTGTTCTTATGTGTAAAACATCTGGTACATCTGGTACTGCTAATAAAACGGAGATACATGCCTTTAAGGTAAACAAGTGTGTTTCAACGTTTCTTTTGATATTTTACAATATAATGTATGTAAAAAGTATACATTACACGAGTCCTTGTTTCACAAGTCCCTTATTTGCAAAATTAATTGTACTATATTTTTAAGTGTACACTTAAAAAGATAATGGCATGAAGAGCAGCACTTAAGAAGAGCACAGCTTTGACAAAGTACTTGTGTTTAAACAGCTGTAAATTGTGTAAACTATACACAAATTATGTTATTCAAAACTTAGGGTGTTTAAACAATCACTTAACTAGTTTATCTACACTGGAGCCATAAAAAGAGTAGTCAGCATACAGTACGTGTACTTAAAAAAAACCTGCTTTTCTTTACAATATTCTGGGACATATCATTTCATCTTTTTTATTTTAAAATTATTTTGTGTAGTTTCAACTGTGGTTTCAAGCAGAATCTGGAATTATGTAGAATGAAGGGTTTTCATAGTCCAGTTGGAAAGTCAGCATTTTAGCAACCAAAGTGCAGGTTTGCCTTGTATTGGATTTTGGGTGATACAGTATTTGCATGCCCTCTCCTGGCAAGTAACTGTTGTAGTCTTGATATCCATTTTTATTCATTTGTTCATTTTTATTCATACGAGAAACATCTTTATTTACAGCTGCTACTGTCCTAGAAATATTTTTAAAAAAGGTCACAATTCATTTTAATTACTCTCTTGACGTATTATCTTCCAACCTTGTCCTTTTTAGGTCATTTGTTTTGTATGTAACTTAATACATGTGAAATGCATGTTCAAACATCAAGTTACACCTTAAAACCTGAGAGAATACTAAAGGTTTTGCTTTCAGGTGATTTAAAAAAGCTGGGAAGAAAAGCCTGTCTTGAACTCAGATTTATTTTAATCACTGAGAACATTCCTCCAAATTACAGTATGTTTACAGACATGTTGTTGTGTACTAAACAGTTTTTTTAATCAGAATACTCTGTGTATATTGCATATATTGTTTTAAAAATAAATTGTAGATATAAGAATATGTCCTTGCTGGAAGAACCAGTTAAAATGAATCAATGGATTGATATTTATTTAAGTTCATATATTAAGAAACTCTTGCAGTAGTATTTACTGTATACCGTTTAATACCATTATATCTAAATTCTCAGACAGGTACGTGGACACATTTCTTCTAGGAAATAGAGGTTCTGAAATTTCTTTAAAGGCACTTTGTGCTTAAGAAGGTGATTTAATTAGTATTTGGTGCATTGAAGCATGAACTAAAGTGTTCTGGACTTAAAACAGGATTTGCAGTGTTATTATTTGTAATGAGGGTGGAATGTCCCATACACTAAAATGCTACAATAGCAAGCCTTATATAATGAGGACTTAATTGGCAGTTTCTCATTTAGCATGTCGAAATAGGAACAACTTTCTTAAGTTTGATCCCCTCCAAAAAAACAACTAGGGGAAAGGTTTCTGGTGATCATCAAATACCCCTTCCCTTTTCATTAATTACAATGTTTCTGCAATTTCCCTTAGGGGATCAATAAAGTATCTATCTATCTAATGTTATTATTCATAGACCAGTGCTTTTCTAAATTCATTGGACAAGTCTGGGATGTACCCTGCTAATTTCAATACATTCTGTACTTTTCTACCTCAGGAACTATTTTATTTGTCCAGGTTGATAATTTTACCACCCCAGAAAAAACTATGTGGTTTTTGTTGGTGTGTGGTAATGCTTCAGCTCATTCACGTATCCACACACACTCATTAGCAGAAAGGGGGTTTGTGAGAGCCCATTGTTAACGTGATGCTTGAGTTTAAGGGATGTCAAAAGGGCGACAGCCATGTGAGCAGGTTGTAGGGCCCTTGAGGTTAAGTTGCATTTTGTTCTCAGAAGCGCTGGGAGGGACGCAGTTGAATTGGTTCTCAAATGGCTTTTAGTCTCCCTGTTCCGCTGTGGCTTTACCTTTGCATGCAGTAAATCAGAAATCCGAATGCTGAACACCGTGACGTTGCTTCAAATAGGCCACATGCTGTTTTGTAACCTGGGAAGAATTTTCAAGGGTCTCTCTTTTCAGCTTCAAGGGAGTTGCTTTGGCGTTCGCCAATGACAGACAAAGGAGAAAACACCTCCCTCTGGTGCTGACTGCACTACTGCAGCAAGCGCTGAGAGACTTCCACAGGGCCACCGAGAAAACCAGCCCCTTCAGGGGCTCGCCACCAGACACAGGTGTTAGTATAATGTGGTCCAGATCAGATGAAACCAAAATTGCCGGGGAGCTAAAGACAAAAGAGGGCTGCTCACGTAATGACAGCCAGCAAAAATCACTTTGTGGCTGAAAAAGATGTCTCCATTAGAAAATCTAGAGGGAAGTCTAGACAGTTAGTGCACACTCACGTGTTTCTGAATCCCACTTGGGGCAGTAGAGAACCTGCAGCTTAAAAATGAGTGTGCACTTTTATTTTGGACCGGGGCGGTAGGAGATTAACACTGCGTATTCTGTAAATGGTGAAGCGTAAACATTTCAGAAAGGTCAAGTAAACACGAATGTAACGGTGCACATAGAGGGGGTTTATGTTTGCTGCTAGTGTTTTAGGTAGTCCTCCAGACTGACAACATCAGTACCCTTATTTTTTCTTTTAATCACAGCCCTCCTTGGTGCTGAGTAAAAGTTTAACCTTTTGTGATTGAAGTAGATGTATCCTGTTGAACTCAGACTGTTTCATGCTAAATGGCACATGCTGCCGCAAAACTGCAGCTCCCAGCCTTGAGAACCTGATCAGCTGAGTGAAATATAACACGTTCACTGCAAATCACCTCGTGCCTATGACAGGGCAAAACGGGTGTTTCATTGGTCTACCCTTTAGGCGAGAATTCCACTGTGTCTGCAGCTGAAATGTGCAGGCATTGTGTCTAGTTACTGAAGTACATGAAAGAGGACGTTTGTTTGAACTTGTGCAACTCTTAACCAGGGTCGGAACCGCTTTCACAGAGTCCAGAGTTTATCAGTGCTGAATTCCCAGCTCAGCACAGATATAGTAAATCACATCCCTTTTATTTCTGCTGACCTCATTAATCAGGTTAGCAATTACTAGGCTTTATCTTGGGATGAGATTTTATGTTTCTTGCACAGATCTTTTAGAAGGTTAATCTTGGGATGAATTATGTGCAGTTTTTTAAGTGACCTGCTAGTCTGTGCTCCATCGCTTGTTAGTTTTTTTTAAAACCCAGAGTATTTAAATTGCTTGTACTGGAATCTAACATGGTGCTATTTGTTTCATTCCACTTTGTTGCTTTATGCCAGGTCATGTGAATGATCAAAAAGCAAAACCAATTGTGTTTTCACTGTTAGTTTTAAATTATAAATATAATAAGTTAGAGATGATCCATGTTATGATCTGCACCGGTTACTTTATTTTCTTTGGACAAGACCCATATTTGTGAATCCAGAATAAGGATCTTACATTGTCAAATAAAAG